GGGGGGGAATGGGGGGGAGGAGGAAGAGGAATGAATGTTAAAAGACTGAATGATAAAGAAAAAGAACCAGAGAAAGTGTAGACCATGTAGAACACAATTGTAAAAAGATCGAATTACGGAATTTCTCAATTTCTTATTTTCTAATCCTTTTATCATTTCAGCATCGTATACCTGAAATCTGAAGACAAAGTATTAAAATTTTATGATATAAATAGTATCACCAGATTAGTAATTCAAAGGAATTGAGTCTTTGCAACATATTCAAAATTTCTAATCGCTATATCTTTTCAATCTGATGGTTTAAACTTTTGGTATTTCAAACTCAGATTATTTGATTAAACAGAATTCACAGTTTGAAATATCTCAGGTCTACGAGATTGATTTAAAAAGATATATGGGGTTATATAATCAGAGTTTGTTGCAAAGACTCAATTTCTTTGTGGAGAGTAATCAGTTCCTTACTCTGAAATATTCTGAGATATTTCAGAAAAATATAAGAAATTTTTGCAAATGTTTTTGTAAACCCTGCAATATGCATCTTGTGTTTACAAGTCTACCCTGTATCTTGGTAAAAAATAATGAACAAGAACATGGTCGTTTGCATTGTGTATAATGTGTATAATAGATAATGTATAGAAAGGGTGGGGATGGATCAAAAATCAAATCAGGATTAAAGTGTACACTATAAACACTGTACACTAAACACTAAACACAGTACACTGTACAGGGTTTTCATTAAATTGCAGAGTACCCTTGACACATTCAAAAACACTTATAAACATAGTTCGCAACTTCGCTTAGTTTATATAGACAGACATTGATTCTATTTTCTAATGATTTTTTGATTCAATGATTGAATAAGATAACAATATTTTGATTGAACAGTTTTTAGATAAAAAAGAACAAAATTAATGAAAAGCATTTTTATAGTTAGTAAATTACAATTTGGCCTACCTACAATGCACCTAGATCTTGTAATGATGTGCTTTGTAAAGAGGTTTGTTTAAACATTAAAGTTTTAGACTTTTAATAGGCGCCACAAGTATCTAAAATTTAAATTCTATTTCAAAGGAATTGAGTCTTTGTCACAAACTCTGATTTTCGAATTCCTATATCTTTGCAGTCCAATGTTGTAGACATTTGACATTTCAAACTATGACTTCTGTTAGATCAAATAATATAAGTTTGAAATATCAAAGGTTTACGACATAGGGTTCAAAAGATTGGAAAATCAGAATTTGTAGCCTCAATTCCTTTGCATACTAGACAAGTTTGCTAATTTTACATGATGCAAACATTTTACTCTGACCAAAACTATTAATAAAACCATTTTTCGTTTTGAAAAATCGGTTTAATAATATCTTTGATCAGAGAAAATAATTCGCATAATGTAATAAAAGCAAACTTATCGAGAATACAATTTTGCATTGTGATGAATAACTCACATATTTGTAGAGCACTTTAAACGCCAAAGAATGCTAAATGTCTGCAAACTATCATCAGTACTCTTCTGACAGATTTCTAATGGTATAAAGGTATGAATATGGAAATATCTATATTATATGTACGTCACGACTTCTGTCAGTACGGGTTAAGAGGGGGGGGGGTACTCAGAATGTCACAGGTTGTAGAAATTCTTAATTGATGTTCACGGGGAGGGGAGTGGAGGCATAAAGTGCTTTCTCTTATTTTCTCTTATGTCATCTTAAAGGGAGTGACCGGCAATGTATGGTGGTTGAGTTGAATATGCAGTATTATGGAAACATTTTTTAGGATTCATTTGAGACATATAAAACGTTTCCACGACGTATATTTACTGAGTTTGAGCGCAAAGTCGACGTTCAAAATCATGACTTTGGGTGGGATGTTTTCAAAATCTTTTTCTTTAATTATCAAATAATGACGACAAAAATGTAGCAAAAATTCTACAGTAAACTAATTAATTGTTTAGGAACAGGTTGAGAAAATAAAAATTAATTCTTATCATCGAAAATAAGTAATCTTATTCAATTATTGGTTTCTATAATCTCTCATTATTTACAAAGATTTTCTGGAATTTTTATCGAAAAGACGACATTTGAAGAATTAGTAGAAATCTGCGAATAAATTCAGAGAAAATAGGAAATTCAATAAAATGATGAAAATGAAAATAATTGATTCTAGCTTTGATTTATTGAGAAATATGTTTCTAACATCTAATTTATAGTT